CCACCCCCCATCAACCCTCAGTTTGTTCTCAGTTTTTAAGAGTCTCTTATGTTTTGGCTCCCTCCCTTTCTAACCCTTTTTTTTTTTCCCCTTCCCTTCCCCCCATGGTCTTCTGTTAAGTTTCTCAGGATCCACATAGGAGTGAAAACATATGGTATCTGTCTTTCTCTGTATGATTTATTTCACTTAGCATAACACTCTTCAGTTCCATCCCCGTTGCTGCAAAAGGCCATATTTCATTCTTTCTCATTGCCACATAGTATTCCATTGTGTATATAAACCACAATTTCTTTATCCATTCATCAGTTGATGGACATTTAGGCTCTTTCCATACTTTGGCTATTGTTGAAAGTGCTGCTATAAATATTGGGGTACAAGTGCCCCTATGCATCAGCACTCCTGTATCCCTTGGGTAAATTCCTAGGAGTGCTATTGCTGGGTCATAGGGTAGATCTATTTTTAATTTTTTGAGGAACCTCCATACTGTTTTCCAGAGTGGCTGCATCAGTTTGCATTCGCACCAACAGTGCAAGAAGGTTCCTGTTTCTCTACATCCTCTCCAGCATCTATAGTCTCCTGATTTTTTCATTTTAGCCACTCTGACTGGCATGAGGTGGTATCTGAGTGTGGTTTTGGTTTGTATTTCCCTGATGAGGAGCAACGTTGAGCATCTTTTCATGTGCCTGTTGGCCATCTGGATTTCTTCTTTAGAGAAGTGTCTATTCATGTTTTCTGCCCATTTCTTCACTGGATTATTTGTTTTTTGGGTGTGGAGTTTGGTGAGTTCTTTATAGATTTTGAATACTAGCCCTTTGTCTGATATGTCATTTGCAAATATCTTTTCCCATTCTGTTGGTTGCCTTTTAGTTTTGTTGATTGTTTCCTTTGCAGTACAGAAGCTTTTTATCTTGATGAGGTCCCAATAGTTCATTTTTGCTTTTAATTCCCTTGCCTTTGGGGATGTGTCAAGTAAGAAATTGCTGCAGCTGAGGTCAGAGAGGTTTTTTCCTGCTTTCTCCTCTAGGATTTTGATGGTTTCCTGTCTCACATTCAGGCCTTTATCCATTTTGAGTTAATTTTTGTGAATGGTGTAAGAAAGTGGTCTAGTTTCATTCTTCTGTGTGTTGCTGTCCAGTTCTCCCAGCACCATTTGTTAAAGAGACTGTCTTTTTTCCACTGGATACTCTTTCCTGCTTTGTCAAAGATTAGTTGGCCATATGTTTGTGGGTCCAATTCTGGAGTCTCTATTCTATTCCATTGGTGTATGTGTCTGGTTTTGTGCCAATACCATGCTGTCTTGATGATTGCAGCTTTCTGGTAGAGGCTAAAGTCTGGGATTGTGATGCCTCCCGCTTTGGTCTTCTTCAAAATTACTTTGGCTATTCGGGGCCTTTTGTGATTCCATACAAATTTTAGGATTGCTTGTTCTAGTTTCGAGAAGAATGCTGCTGCAATTTTGATTGGGATTGCACTGAATGTGTAGATTGCTTTGGGTAGTATTGACATTTTAACAATATTTATTCTTCCAATCCATGAGCATGAAATGTTTTTCCATTTCTTTATATCTTCTTCAATTTCCTTCATAAGCTTTCTATAGTTTTCAGCATACAGATCTTTTACATCTTTGGTTAGGTTTATTCCTAGGTATTTTATGCTTCTTGGCGCAATTGTGAATGGGATCAGTTTCTTTATTTGTCTTTCCGTTTCTTCATTATTGGTGTATAAAAATGCAACTGATTTCTGTACATTGATTTTGTATCCTGCAACTTTGCTGAATTCATGTATCAGTTCTAGCAGACTTTTGGTGGAGTCTGTCAGGTTTCCCATGTACAGTATCATGTCATCTGCAAAAAGTGAAAGCTTGACTTCATCTTTGCCAATTTTGATGCCTTTGATTTCCTTTTGTTGTCTGATTGCTGATGCTAGAACTTCCAACACTATGTTAAACAACAGCGGTGAGAGTGGACATCGCTGTCACGTTCCTGATCTCAGGGGGAAAGCTCTCAGTTTATCCCCATTGAGGATGATGTTAGCTGTGGGCTTTTCATAAATGGCTTTTATGACGTTTAAGTATGTTTCTTCTATCCCGACTTTCTCGAGAGTCTTTATTAAGAAAGAATGCTGAATTTTGTTAGCATTTTCTTAGCTTTTTTAAAAAAAATTATGTTTTCTGGGGATTATACTTAGCACTAACTTTCAATTTGTATAATATACATTAATATATGTGATGTAAATATTATATATATATTTATGACAAGTCTTAATCTTTGTATACAAATATATGACAATGTTATTTCTTTTCTTTCTGCAAAGGTAGTCTTTTCACCCCCCTCCCACCCCCACCCCCCACACCCCAGTCTAAGCCTGGGTAATTTGTTAGTAGTTTATTTCTCTTTGTTTATAACCATGTGTCTATCTTTCTTTTGAGAAAGCATTGACACTCTCTTACTACTAGACACTTTCTGTGGGTGAGGTAGAATCACTAACTGTGTTATGCATGTGTACACCAGAGAATATATAAGAACAAAAGAGAAATGTTCCATCACACTTTTGAAGGGTCTATTGAAAGTGCTACATATTTCTGTAAAATCTAGCACTGTAATTTGGAGCAGGAGTAAGGAAAGGGACTTGTATAGTTTACGTTTTCTATTGCTCCGTGCGTATGGCACATCCTAGTCTGACTTTCTTGATACTTTCTCCAACTGATAGAATAACTACTTCATAAGCTCTAGCTCAGCCAAGACTTGGATAAATTTAAACACTGGTTCTACTCAGGGAATAGTTTTAAGGCACAGTTCAAATGTCTGAATTAGATCATACGTTAGAAAATATAAAGGTGATAGAAGGCTTACTTCTGGCAAAAATCATCAAGTAGAATCGCGTTTATCTTTGATGTTTCTAAACTTACCAGCCATACCTCATCAATTGAATAGTCTTTTTCCTTTCATAAACTCTTCCCGGTGCTCTCATGCACCCTCTGATAAGGATCCTTTGCCACAGCCTGTGCCCCTGTTCCCTTTCTGCATTACCAGCCTTCCCATGTCCCATGCCCTTCGGTCAAACTTCCTTCAAACATTGCCAAGCCTGTATTTCAGTCCCTCTGTATTCCATTGACCTAGGAATTAGTTCTGTGCACCAATCATTGTCTAACTGGTAGTAGTTGATGATGTGATAGCTTTTTCTAGTTTGCCATGGTAACGAAAAATTGTAACTTACTCAGTTTTTGGTGAAGAACCCTTCAGGGTACACCCCCTTGCTGGCTGGACTTTGATGGTTTCGACACTGTTTCAAGCTGGTTTGTTTAGGTATTTATTTGGAAGGAAAAAGAACACTGATAGACTATCAATGCATATCTGCTTTCAAGATTTGTTAATTTAAGTATAAGACTGTGACTGTTCCTTAAGGAAAGCTGATTTTAGAAGAGAGAAGGCAAAACTTTATTCAACAATTATGATCCATAATAAAATACCCTCTAGTTGCATACTCTTAGCCAATTAAATGAAAATATTGAAATGAAAATATTTTATATTAACGGACACACAATTTGGAAGATGGAAAGCATTTCCTTTTTTAATCACTATTTTTAATCTTTGTGATGATGACTGCTGATTTGCCCTGTTTTATAATTCTCTGTTAGAGTTGTTTAGTATTTATTATAGGTAAACTCTCATTTGTTAAACTATGAAGGGGGCATTTTTATTATGTTCATGTTATTTTTCTTGACAAAAAACTGCAACAAAGAACAAACTAAAGTCTATTCATAGAAAGATTATGTCATCATTAAAAAAATCCCTTTCTCGGGGTACCTGGGTGGTTCAGTGGGCTAAGCATCTGACTTCAGCTCAGGTCATGATCTCATGGTTTGTGAGTCCCAGCCCCACATCCGGCTTTCTGGTGTCAGCACAGAGCCTGCTTCAGATCCTCTGTCCCCACCGCCCCCCTCTTTCTGCCCCTTCCCTGTTCGTTCTCTCTCTGTTTCTCAAAATAATTAAATAAAAGCTTAAAAAAAAAATCCCTTTCTTAGGTTCTATACTTCTTTTTGTTAGTGTAATGATCAAACCTTTTCCCCCAGGTATTTATTTAACCCCTCCCTTGCTTGTGTCATTCAGATTTCTTCCAAGAGCAAGCAACATAAGTACTTCTGGTCTACCCTTGGTAGAATCTCTGCATTTCCAAGTCTATACTTGTAGGAGTGTGAAGGAAAGCAAGAATAAAGAGAATATAATATAAGATAGAGTTCTTTTTCATAAGACATTTATGGTCTATTAAGAAATCAGATTACTCCATATGAAGCAACCTATTAGCAAGCCAGGGTAATTTCTAGTTCTAAGATATGTGATAAAGTTAACATTATCAGGCATCAGAGAGGAAAGAGAAATTACAACAAGCTTGAGATGCCAGAGAAGTTTTAAGCTGAACTTTGGACAGGTGAAAGGGAAAAGGACCTTTGAGATGGAAATGTTAAAATGCTCCTGTAGAATTCTGAGCCCCAAAGGTGGTACATGTACCAAACTAAGGAAAAGAGCAAAAAAGATTATTAACTTCCAAGTTTCCTCATTGGTCCACAGGAAGCCTGTCTAAACCCACTGGGCTGGCCCCTCCTATTTCCAAATACCTGGTGCTGGTCAGCTCTGGCTGCTATTACAACATAGATTGGGAAGTTTGAACCAACGAAATTTATTTCTTACTGTTCTGGAGGCTGACAAGTCCAAGGTCAAGGTGCTGCCAGATTCAGTCTCTCATGAGGGCCCACTTCCTAGTTCATGGAGGCCATCTTCTTGTTATGTTCTCATGTGGCTTTTCTATAGTGCTTGCATGTGAAGGGAGAGAGATTTCAGGTCTCTCTCCCTCTCTCTTTGGCTTTATTGAGGTGTAATTGACAAAGTTGTAATATCTTTACATGATGTGATGATTTGATACACATATACATTGTGTAAGGTTTCCACAGTTGAGTTAATTAACACATCCTCACCTCACATATTTACCTTTCTTTTTTGGGGGTGAGAACACTTAAGTTCTATTCTCTTAGCAAATTTCAGTTATACCATGCAGTGTTATCAACTGTAGTCACCAGGTTACACATAAGATCCTCAGACCTTGTTGGGGCGCCTGGGTGGCGCAGTCGGTTGAGCGTCCAACTTCAGCCAGGTCACGATCTCGCACTCCGTGAGTTCGAGCCCCGCGTCAGGCTCTGGGCTGATGGCTCAGAGCCTGGAGCCTGTTTCCGATTCTGTGTCTCCCTCTCTCTCTGCCCCTCCCCCGTTCATGCTCTGTCTCTCTCTGTCCCAAAAATAAATAAACGTTGAAAAAAAAAAAAGATCCTCAGACCTTGTTAATCTTATAACAGACTTTCCCTTTTTATAAGGACACTAATCCTATCATGAGGGCAACACCCTCATGATCTCATCCAAACCCAATTACCTCTCAAAGGTCCCAGCTCCAACTACCATCACTTTGAGGTTTTAGTGATTCAACATGAATTTTGGGGGTCACTAACATTCAGTTCATGCACTTCCCATAACTCATATGTGCTATGTACAGCCCCATCTCTGCTTTGACTCCCTGTCTTCCTTCAACACCCTGGGAGATAAGATGCACAGCAAAGACTTAGTCCAGATTTGGTTCAGGGCCTTCCCTTTACGTTTTTATGGTTGTTCTAACGCTGACTTCAAATATTTATAAATGCTTTTAGATTCATGTTCAACTGTTTTCTTTTCTTTTTTTTTTTAGAGATTTTTCAGTAATTTCTACACCCAACATGGAGCTGGAACTCACAACCCTGAGATCAAGAGTTGTGTGCTCTACCGACTGAGCCAGCCAGCTTACCCCTTAACTGTTCTCTCAAAATTAGCTTTTTGGAGAAATTGGGTCACCTTATAACTCCATAAAAGTGAATATTTGGCTTGACATAAATGTGGTTTGTTTAATTATTTAACAACTACTTAACAGATGCCTGTTAGAGGCTTCTTTCTGATTTCTGACCTAGGAGTTTGTACAATGTGTTGTCCCTGTACTTACAAGGGCAGAATTGAGGTGGGCATAAAAGCACTTGCTGTGAACTTGTTATAATTATTACTGAATACATATTTTTAAAGAACCTTTATATACCCTTAATCTCCCCCAAATTTGTATTGTGCACGTATTATGTGCAAAGTATTACGCTAGGTCAGGGGTTTCTGAACTTTTCTTAAAGGAGCAGATAGCAAATATTTTAGGCTTTGTGGGTCATAGGGTCTTTTCATAACTACTCAACTCTGCCTATAAGACAGAGTAGCCATAAACACTGTGCAAACCAATCAGTGTGACTTTATTTCCAAGAATAAGCATCCAGACTGTGGGCTTTAGTTTTCCAACCTCTGTGCTAGGTGATGGGGCTACACAATGGATATGATGTGTGAGGCATTGATAGTGTAGCTAAGGAGACAGAGTCATAAGGGATAATTTCAGTGTGTTGATAAACGCCAAGATCAAGGTAATGCATAGGGTTCTCTGAAGCACAGGGGAGGAGCACTTAGCCAATTTGGGAGGTTCAAGGAAGGCTTTCTGGAGGAGCTGAAGGAAGGATAAAGCATGAACCAAATGAAGCAAAATGAGAAGCTGAGAAGCTACAAGGGGCGGCATGAGCAGTGACACTTTGGAGCTGAGTGGTGGCGGACAACTGCTAGAAGTGTGCCTTCACAAAAGGGTCAAGAGCCATTTGTCAAGTAACAGGATTGAAGAATTAGATGGGGCCAAGTCATGGGAGAGCCTTGTATGGTGTACTCAGAGCTTATGACATTAGGTTGGAAAATTTTGAATTGCCGGTACTTCTGGGACAGCCAAAGTGACATGCCTAGCTTAGGTGGATTCCCAGTCCTTTTATAGACTGGGAATCATGAGCATACACGTGGTTATTAAAGCCACAAACATGGATGAGATTGTGTTGGGACAGGGTAAAAAGTGGAGAGAAGTGAACAGGGAGCAGGACAGAGACTTGGTGAACAATGTTTAAGGAGTGTGCAGGAAGGATAAGCCCAAGAAGGGAGCAGAGAGGGAGGAGACAATTAGCAGAGAGTATTGTCATAGCAGCCAAGTACTCTTCTGAGGGTACAGTGCTAAGCTACAGTAACAACAAAAACCACAAACAAGTAACAGTGAAATGGCCACACGCACAGGTTGATTTCTTCTCATGCAGAGTCCTTTGCAGGTCTAGCCCTCACCTCCTTGCTTTAACACTTGGTGGAACTTGTGGGCTATGAGTTTGTCATTGGCAGGAGGAAAATGAGATGAAGGGGGGGGACACCAGTTCTTTGCTGCCTTGATCTGAACTACTTGAACCCGAGTAGTCAAATGGGCCCAGCCTAAATGCAAGGGAGGCTGGGAAGTACAGAGGACTCCAAGAGTACTAACAGTCTCTGTCTTATCCATAAAGTAATGAGTTTCAAGAAGCAGCGGGCAGTCAGCTGTATCAATGGAAAGGCCCACCTAAGGAGAGACTTTAATAAATTTTAAGAAATATGAGAATATTCCAATAGGCACACCATTAATGTCTCCAGACCATTCCTATGTCCAAATGAGAAGTTGTGGTACTTCTTTCCATTTGGCCTATGAGGGCATCTCTGGAAGTTTTTTTTCTCCCAAATTTAATTTTTTTTTTTTTTTTTTTTTTTACCTCCAGTTTTCCTGCGAAGCTTCTTATTATGTCAGAAAGAGCTTTGTGAACAGACAGAAAAGGAGGCAGAGATGAATGATCTCCCTACCAAAATGTCAGCATGTTCTTCTCTGTTTAGACAATGGAAAGTGACTTGTGCATCAGTTTTGTTTGTTTTGTAAGGGTCAACATTAAAAAAATTTTTTTTAACATTTATTTATTTTTGAGAGACAGAGAAAGACAGAAGAGGAGAGCAGGGGAGAGGCAGAGAGAGAGGGAGACACAGAATCCGAGGCAGGCTCCAGGCCCCGAGCTGTCAGCACGGAGCCCTCTGCAGAGCCCAAACTCACAAACCATGAGATCATGGTCTGAGCAAAAGTTGGACACTTAACCTACTGAGCCACCCAGGCGCCCCCATAAGGGTCAGCATTTTAGATCGCTAATATCTATTCTTCTTCCCTTATAGAAGAGGTTGAAGTGCATAATTTTCACGAAGGTTATCAATAAGAAGATATAGGGAATTTTTTCTTTCCATAATGTAATCGCTATGATACCCTCATTTGTGTAAGGGGAGAAAAAGAAAAGGCAAAGCTCTGGCCTAGTGGCTGAAAGATTGGGTTCTAGTAAAGACTACAATGAATAGAATGGACTACTGTGATAGGATAGAATATATTGGAATCAATCACATATAGTAAGGGTAAGGATTGTTGAAACTTGTCTTTCAATTACAGGTGTGTGTGTGTGTGTGTGTGTGTGTGTGTGTGTGTGTGTGAGTGTTTTTATATAAAACACGTTTTTTGCTGTGGATCATCGATGAAAAGAGGTTTAAAAACACTAGACTGGACATCTTGCTGGGATTCAAGGGTTTAGGTTAACTTATAACTAGATGCATCCCTCAGACTAAAACCTGGAGCTGAGTGACAGAGCACTCCAGGAGAAAGAGACTAAAGTTAGAAACAGAAAAGAAGAGGAGGAAATGAATATTTTGGTAGAAGCCATGTGGATATCAGGAAAGAAGATGGTTCCATTCCTCTGGAGGCCAACCTACTGAGGGAAGACAACTAGGCAAAGTGCCTATGGGCCCTGTCAGCTATTTTGGCCACCTGTTGCCTACATAACAAATTGCTCTAAAACTTAATGGATTAAAGCAACCATTTTATTTTGCTCATGATTTCGTGGGTTAAGAATTTGGCAAGGCTCAGCTGATCAATGATGATGGCTGTTTGCTCACATGTCAAATGCCTTGGTGCTCTTTGTCCAGTCTGTGTCCACGTGTGTTGTCATCCTCCAGGATGTCCCCACGTGGCTTTATCATTTTTTCTGGGTAGTCACATTTCTTTCATGGCAGTTGGCTTACAATAGTGAGTGTTTCAAGAGACAGGAAGTAGAAGTTGCCAGTATGCTAGGGACTGGGTTCAGAAACAGGTAAAGTGTCATTTCCACCATATTCTATTGGTCAGAGGAATCACAGAGCCTGTCCAGATTCAAGGTAAAAAGAAATAGACCTTACTTCTCAGTGGGACCATTAGCAAAGAATTCAAGGCCACCTTTAATGTGCTGCATCGGCCAATTTATGGCGATAGTTTTAGAAGGGTAGCCCTGTCATAAAATAGCGTGGTAAGGTATTGTTTTGTTTGTATCCTACTTTTATTGGAATTATTAAATCAGAAATAATTATGTTGTTATTTCAACTATTTTGAACATTGTTTTAACTGATATCCTTTTTCTTTTCACTTATTTTATTTAACTTTTAAAATAGTTGTAGATTCACATGCAATAAGGAATAATACAGAGATATCCAGTGTACCATTTATCTAGTGTTTCTTCTAAACAGAGAGCGAGCAGGGGAGGGGCAGTGAGAGAAGGAGACACAGAATCCGAAGTGGGCTCCAGGCTCTGAGCTGGCAGCACAGAGCCCGAAATGGGGCTCGAACTCACGAACCATGAGATCATGACCTGAGCCAAAGCCGGACGGTTAACTGACTGAGCCACCCAGGTGCCCCTACCTAGTGTTTCTTCTAATGGTAACACTTGCAAAATAATAGTATCATATTACAACCAGGAAGTTGACATTGATACAATTCACTAACCTCACTCAGATTTTCTAGTTTCCCATGTGTTCAGTTGTGTGTGTATATGTGTGTGCACGCGTGTATGTGTTTAGTTCTATGCAATTTTATCATGTAGGTATGTGTATCCACCACCACAGGCAAGAGACAGAACAGTTCCATCACCTCAAGGATCCCTCATTGTTGCCCTTTCATAACCACATCTACCTCTTCTCATCCTTAATCCCCGGCAACCAGCATAATTCCCTTAAGTTTCATCCACATTGCTGCATGTACCAAAAGTTTTGTTCCTCTTTATTGCTGTCTGGTGTTCGTGGTATGAACGTACCACAGGTGGCTTAGCCATTCACCAGTTGGAGGACATCTGAGTTGTTTTCCAGTTTGGGGCTTTTATGAATAAGGCTGCTATGAACAGGCATGTACAGTTGTTTTTTGTTTTTTGTTTTGTTTTTTCTGAATATAAGCTTTTATTTCTCTGGGATAAACACTAGTGTAATTGCTGGATCATATAGCAATTGCATTTTTAGTTATAAAACCGTTTTCCAGAGTGGCTCTACCATTGTTCATTCCCAGCATATGAGTGATCCAGTTTTTCCTCATCCTTGTCAATATTTGGTGGTGTCCTTATTTTTTATTTGACATTTTGGTAGGTGTATAGTGATATCTCATTATGGTTTTAATTTGCCTTTCCTTAGTGGCCAGTGATGTTGAAGGTATTTCATGTGCTTATTTCCCCATCTGTATATCTTCTTTGGTGGGATATCTGTTCATGTCTTGCTCATTTTCTAATTGGATTATTTGGCTTTTTTCATAATTGAGTTTGGAGACTTTGTATATTCTGTGACTAGTCCTTTGTTGCATACGTAGTGTGCAATTATTTTCCTTTGGTCTGCGGCTAATGTCTTCGTCCTCTTAACAGGGTCTTTTGCAGAGCAAAGACATTTAATTTTGATGAAATCCAATTTATCTATTTTTCTTTGTGAATTGTGCTTTGACATCAATTCTAAGAACTCTTCTCCTAATCCTGATCCTGAAAATTTTTC